ATTATATTATATTCTGCAAGCACTTTAGAGTGAGTCTCATGGAAAAAAAATTGGGGATCATAAGGCACAGAATTTCCTGCCTGGATATTCAGAAACAGGGCATTGAAAAATAGCAAGATGTCTGTGGATGTATCACCCTGAATGCATCTGGTTTCACCTGAAAAATAGCAAGGCATGTGTCTAATGAATATTTCCACCAGCAGATATGGAAAGAGAGATTTCATTTTGTTTTTCACCTCCAAATACTTGGCTGTTCTTATTCCAATGAAGAAACCAATTACGCATTAAATGCATGTATGTTTTTATAAGATCGTAAAAATAAAGAGGTTTATTTTAATGGAGAAATTTGCCATGATTCAGAAAGCTAAATTATTTTTGTCATGCATGTAAGTAAGTTTTAAAAACAAAATGCTATAGTATGACATTAATTTTAGTCATTTTCTTCTCCTAAATGCCCTGAGGAATATACTTTGCCTAAAATTATAGGAGAATTTAAATATCAGATCAAGGTCACCATGACTGAATTTGGGTTTGGCACATATATTACTGAAATGAAAATTAAAAGAATTTTTTTAAACAATCATAATGAATAGAAGCAAGATTTATGGAAAAATAGAAAAAAATTATACATCACTTCTTTGGTATTGCTTCAATCACCTTCAACAGAATGTAGCTGTTGCCACAAGTGTATGAAATTTTAAATTCCTCTGAATAAATTCAACTTTGTTTAACCAAACACAACTTTATTCACATCAATCACTCTATTGTCAGATAATTCTCTTAGAAAATGAGGTGACATAAGGAAACAACTCTGGAGTCAAAGTGCTGGGGTTCAAATTCCACAGCCAAAGGTAATTAACTATGTAAACTTGGCTATATCACTTAATTGCTCCAAGATCCATTTGGACAATGTAATAAGGTGACATCACCCATCTCAGGTTGTTGTAAAGATGAGATGAACTAATCCAGTTAGAGCACTTCAAATAATATGGGGCACCTCATAAAAATATTCAGTGAATGTCAGCCACCACTATTACTTCATTCTCCATCCCCTTATGTATTAGAAACAGCATATTAGGAATGAAACATTGAATTAGCAGTGGACATAAAAAGAATACTACAAGACAGCAAGAGTAAAAAGTAGAATTATTGAATCAGAAACAAGAGGTCAATAAGCAGAACTATTTCATAATATTTAATCCAGGGGTCAATAGCCCAGACCATTTGAAGTATCTGATAGCAAAATAAGGTTTTTATTATTATTATTATTTTAAAGAGTAAAAGAAGGATAACGTAGTAATAGGGGGGCTTACCGAATTACAGACAAAGTGGTAGGAAATTATCAGTGGTTGTTTTACATATTGTTATCTACAAGATAGTTTCTCAGGAAAACAGATAGACAAATAATAGTGAGTTACAGACAAAAGTGGTAGATTATCAATGGTTGTTGTACTATACTTTGGTATGTTCAAAGTGGTTTCTAAAGAAAATAAATAGGCAAAATAAGTTTAATAAGAAAGGTACGTGACACTTGTGGGGGAAAATGTACATTACCAAAGCATAGTCCTTAACAATTTTTATTAAAAGATATTCTATGTATTTTATGTAGATATTCTCATTCTTCTAATGATAAGACTCAATATTTCAAAGGTGTCAATTCTTAAATTAATGTAGGTATCAATTTCAAATTATTATATTGTATCATATTAGTCTAAACAGAATTATTATTCTGTTTTGTAAAATGATTCTTATGAAGATAGTAGATGCATCTGAGAAAAGAGGAGAAAAGACCTATGCTATTGAATACTACCCACCAACCACTGCAGGCCACTGCAGTCCATTGCAGTCCACCACTCTGCTCCACTGGTGTGCTTCTCTTGGAGGCCTCTGGGGTCGCCAGCAGTCACTAGGCATCTGCAGGTTCAAGCAGCCTCTTCCATGCAGTGAGTCTGGGCTTAGGGAGAAGGCACTGCACCCCTCCTCCTTCTTGTTCATTAAAGTCTCTCTTTTCACTCACCTATGGGCTTCAGTTCTCACACAGAACTTTCCTGGGTCCCAGGGACACACTTCCTTCCTTCTTCTCGTCTTTGTGTTGCTATATTCCAGTGTCTGGACACCAAATCTCACACAGGCTCTTTCCCTGCTGCTCACCACTCCACCATCTTCCTGGAAGTCTAATTGGATCAATATCTTGTTACTTTTATCTGTTATGATCTTGCCAATTGCCTTATTGAACTATTTTGTTATCCACCCTGATGCCATTTCAAACAATTTCATTGTGAAGACTTAGGTTTTCTCACCTTGTGTGCTCCATGGATCAGCTCTGATTGAGTTCTAAACGGTCTCAATTCACCAATCAAAAGAAACAGACTGGCAGAATGGAACAATACACAAGATCTAACAATATGCTTCATACTAGAAATACATTTAATTCAAAAAGAAATTCATAGACAAAAGTTCAAAGTATGAAAAACAGTACTCCATGTGATAGGAACCCCCAAAAAAGCAGAGGTATCTATTCTATTTGCAGACAAAATGGATTTCAAGCCAAAACCGATCAGAAGAGACAAAATCACTATGGGAACAATCCAAGAAGAAGAGAATACGCTCATAAATACATATAGAACAAATAGCACATCCAACCATACAAAACAAATATTAATGGACATGAAAAATCAAAAAAACACTACTACAACTGTAATGGAGAACATCAATACCCCACCATCACAAACAGATATAACAACTAGACAAAATATCAACAATAAAATATTTTTTGAACAAAGGGACTTAAAAGATTTCTACAGAGTGTTCCACCCCACAACATCAGAACACACATTCTGCTCAGCTGCATATATGACATTCTCCAAAATAGACCACATACTAGTTCATACTACATGCTTAAGCACATGCAAAGGAATTGACACTCTCCCATGTATATTATCATAGTGCAATGAAATTGGAAGTCAATGGTAAAAGAAACTACAAGAACTTCATAAACACATGGAAATTAAATAACATTCTCCTGAACACCCAAAGGATCACAGATGAAAATGAAGAAATTAGGCAGTTTCTTCAAATAAATGATAATGACAACAAAACATATTGGAACTTAAAGGTCACAATGAAAGCAGTCCTACAAGGAAAATTTATAGCAGTGAATAACCATAACAGGAAACAGAGCAAGATGAAACAAACTACTTAGTGGTAAACTTCAAACTTCTACAAAAAAAATGAGCCAAGCCCAAAGCTCCTACAAGAATGGAAATTAGAAAGATCAGAGCAGAAATTAATGCAATGCAGAATAAGGAAAAAATACAAAAAAAAAATCAATCAAAGAATTGGTTCTTTCTAGCATTAAATAAAATCAGAAAACCCTTAGTCAACCTTATCCAAAAAAGGAAAGAAAGGACTGAAATCCACACAATTAGGAATTAAAAGGATGAAATCACAACAGATCCTGCAGAAATCCAGAAGATCATCCCTACCTACTTTGAGAATATGTATTCTAATAAGATAGAAAATGGAGAAGAAACGGACAGATTCATAGAAACATATGAATTACCAAAGCTAAATCAAGAAGATATAAAATCCTAAATAAGCCAGTATCAATCAATGAAGTCAAAGATGTTATTAAAAATCTGCCAACAAGGGGCTGGGGATTTAGCTCACCGGCAAAGCACCTGCCTGGCAAGCGCAAGGTTGTGAGTTCGGTTCCCAGTACCGGAGGGGGGAAAAAAAAAAATCTTCCAACAAAGAAAAGTACAGGCCCTAATAGATTCACAAGAAATTTAGAGAAAGGCTAATTTAGAGAAAGGCTAAACTCTCCAACACTTTAGTGAAATTGAAAGGGAAACAGTACCCCCTAATTCATTCCTGGAATTGAATTTTAACTTGTTATCAAAACCAGAGAAAGACCCAACTAAGAAAGAGAACTGTAGGCCCATCTCCTTAATGAACATAGACACAAAAATCCTCAATAAGATACTGGCAAACAGAATGCAGCAAATCATCAAGAAGATTATACATCATGACCAAGTGGAATTTATTCCAAGGATTCAGGGATGATTCAACATATGAAAGTCAATAAATGTAATACACCTTATTAACAGAGCCAAGGACAAAATTCATATGATCATCTCAACACATGCAGAAAAAACCTTTGACAAAGTCCAGCAAACATTCATGATAAAAACCCTACAGAAAATTAGAATAGATGGTCATTATCTCAGTCTAATAAAGCCATCTATGACAAACCAACAACCAACATCATACTAAACAGACAAAAATGAAAGTTTTCACTATAAATCAGGAACAAGAAAAGCATATCCACTGTCACCAATCTTATTAAATTTAGGTCTAGAAACTTGAACCATAGCAATTAGACAAGAGAATGAAATAAAAGAAATAATGATAGCAAAAGAAAAAATTAAATTATCTTTATTTGCAGATGGCATGATACTCTACATAGAAGACCCCAAAACCTCCACAAGACTTCTAGATTTAAGGACCAAATTTAGTAGTGTAGCTGAATACAAAGTCAACACTCAAAAATAAATAGCATTCCTGTACATAAAGAAAAAAAAAAACTCACTGAGAGGGAAATTAGGGAAACCACAACCTTCAAAATAGCATCCAAAAAATGAAATACCTAGGAATCAATCTAACAAAGGAAGAAAAATACCTCTACATTGAAAACTACAGGAGAAACCTCAAGAGTTTGAGTGAGCAGCCAGGGAGAGAAGAGACTCTGGACTATGTCCTGCTCCTGCGGTCATGAGAGTGATGCTGAGTCCCAGGGAACCTTGCAGGCATCAATGAGCTTCCAGGAAGGGGAGAGACTCTGCATTTCATCCCCCCCATCATTTCAGGAGTGACTCTGAGCCCCAGGAAAACTCAGGAGCTTCAGGGAACTGCCCAGGATGGGAGAGATTCTGCATGCTGCCCCATTACCACCACCACAGGAACAATGCTAAGTCCCAGAGAAGATCGGGAGATTTGAGGTGCTGCCTGGGAGGAAGGACACTATGCACTCTACGTTCCACCAGTACAGGGGTGACACGGAGCCCCGGGGAACCTTAGGAGCATTGAAAATGACAAAACAAAGGAACAAAATGCAATCTCAGACCTCTGCTCCACCCAGAACAACTCCAGGAGACATCAACATACAAGACCTTGGAAGTCATGCAGTTGAAATTTCTGAAATGATAGCAACTGAAGTAAAGACATAACTATATCAGGCTATAGAAGAAGTCAGATCAGAAATAATATCTCAGGTAAAAAAAAAAAAAAGGAAATGATGACCATAATGAAAGAATTGGTGAACATATTAAAAGAAGACACTGAAAAAATAGAAGTGCATCAAAAAGTGATAGAAACCTTTAATGAACAATAGAGAAAAGAATTAGAATGCATGAAAGAGATTTAAATAGATATCCAGGATATTAAAAATTCCATTCAAAATTGGTAAAACTGCTTGAACAAAACTGAAGATAGACTTTCAGACCTTCAAGATAGCATTTCAGCTAGCCATCATGAAAAGAAACATCTCTAAAAAATAGCAAGGAACAAGAAATAAATTGACTGCCTGGCAAGCACAAGGTCCTGAGTTCAGTTCCCCATACAAAAAAAAACTTCAACAGCTACAAGATGATGTGAACAAAAACAATATAAGAGTGATGGGTATTGACAAGAAAGCAGGAGGCAATATGAATGACATAAAAAGACTAGTTGAAGCAGTAATAACAGAAAATTTCCAAAGCTTGTAAAAAGAATCTGACATACAGTAATTGATGCATATAGAACTCCAACTAGACATAACCAAATTAAATCTACACCCAGACATATAATAAAAAGGATCCAGAAGTTCAACAAAACAACAGAACATTAAAAGCTGTTACAGAAAAGAAACAGACTACCTATGCAGGAAAAACCATCAGAATCATGGCAGATTTCTCAACACAAAGCATTAAGTCAAGAAGAGCTTAAAGTGAAGGATTTCAGGTCCTGAAAGAAAACAACTTCCAACCCAGATTGATGTAGCCTGCAAAACTATCCTTCTGATGCCCTGCCCCCACCACAAGTACAAGAGCCACACTGAGACCCAGGGAGTTTGGGGAGTCTTGACCAGGCCCACCACACCATCACAAGTGTGACACTGAGGCCCAGGGAACCTCAGGATCTTCAAAAATGACAACTCAAAGAGGCAAAATGCAATCTCAGACATCTACCCCATGAAGAACATGTCCAGAAGACATTGACATAGAAGAGCTTGGAAGTCACACACCTGAAATTTCTAAAATCGTAGCAACTAAAGTAAAGAAACAACTCCATCAGGCTAGAGAAGAAATCAGATCAGAAATAATCTCTCAGGTAAAAAAAAGAAATAACAATAATGAAAGAAATGCTCAGCATGTCTAAAGAAGTCACAGACAAAAAATGGAAGGACATAGAAAAATGATGGAAACCTTGAATGAACAATAGAGGAAAGAACTAGAATGCATGCAATAGATTCCAACAGATATCCAGGAAATTAAAATTCTATCAAAAGCTGGCCAAACCGCTTGAACAAAGCTGAAGACAGATGTTCAGACATTGAAGACAGCACTGCAGCTACTGATCATGAAAGTAAAGCTCTCTTAAAAATAACAAGGAACCAGGAAATAACAATTCCACAGCTACAAGATGATGCAAAGAAAAATGATGTAAGACTAATAACAAAGATAAGTGAATACATATCAGTTATAACCATTAATGTAAATGGCCTCAATTCACCAATCAAAAGAAGCAGACTGGCAGAGTGGATCAAGAAACAAAATATAGCAATATGCTGTCTACAAGAAACATATTTAACCCAAAAGGAAATTCATAGACTGAAAGTCAAAGGATGGAAAACAATGATCCATGCTACAGGAACCCAGAAAAAAAGCAGTAGTAGCTATTCTGTTTGCAGACAATATGAACTTCAAAGCAAGAATGATCAAAGAGATAAAGAAGGACACTGTACATTTGTTAGGGGAAAAATGCAAGAGGAAGAGATAACAATCATAAATATTTATATGCCAAATACAGGAATGCTGAACTATACAATACAAATTTTAACAGACATGAAAAATCAAAGAAGCAGTAATACAATCATATCAGGGGACTTTAACACACCATTGTGAAAAAGAGATAG